CTACCCCGGCTTGGGCCCCGGGGATCCCAGCGTGACAATGCTGGTCACAATTGCAAAGGTATGTAACTGATTGTGGATGCATGCTACATACAACAGACCATATGTTAGACATGACGCACCATCCATGTGCTACAAGAAACACTGAACCTGCAACAATCCAAGTTGGGGCATTCGTTTCAACGAAAAGAAACATATGGACAAGACATGAACGTTGCTCTATGGGCCTCGTTCGACACCACTAAAAATGTAAGGATTCTTAATTTCTTACAAAATCGTCGGTCCACCACACCCTAATGACGAAAAAAATGAACTCTAAAACGTTTCCACATTTTTGGCTGTTAGGATCCGGCCCTGAAAAATCAGGGCTGCCAAGGCAAAACGACGAAAATCTCTAGGGAGCCCTCGGAGGTGACTAGAAATGTAAGGGTGGGACCCTACGGATTGCCCGACAGGTCGAGGTCCTGACACCCGGCCCTCCTCACCTGAGATGTAATGGCAGGTAAGTGTAGGGTCTTCCTTACGGGCTGTGGAACGGAAAAAAAAAGTTAGGGTAAATTAATCACCCTGGCTCAGTTAGGGCGCCCATACAATGTAAGAATTCGTAAGTGGTGTGGAACGAGGCCCTATATGGCACTAATTTAACATTGCCAGCCCTCCAGACATCAAAACAATGCAAACCCATGGGGCCCGCTACCTTCCACCAGACAAAAACACATGGTCATTTGAACTGTACTTAGGACAACTTTCGGGCCAGATACAACTATGATGACCACACCATATGTTCAGGGTATGACTGTAGCACCATCTACAGTAGGCTACCAGCTCATCAGGCATCTCAGAGGGTGTTTACTGGTACGATTGAGGGTTTTGTCACATCAAGAGATGAGTCTCAAACTGTCTACACAACATATAAAATAGATGGTGATAGGTCTCCAAAGCCTATCACCAGCTACTTTATATGTTGCGTAGACAATTTGAGATTTGCACACTAAAATAAGTAAAATGAAGAGGATGGTGATAAAGGTTAAAGTAACCCTCACTGTGATCCACAGATAGCATTGAATACTCCCATACATGAAGCGGTATCACCATGGACTCAGAAATGCACACAGGAACTCCGAACGGCCGCCATAGCCACCGGCTAGACCAGTAGGAGAAGGAGGTGCGAGATGGCTATGGTGGACTTCTTGAGTGGCTGGAAGTAAGGAGAGGATCCGGACGTTGGTTCTGGTTCATTCTTTCATTGTTATTGTTATGCAAGGAAAATGAGCGATAGCGAATTCCAGAAACCAAGCAGCATCATACACATGAAACCAGATAGCCTTGACCTTGAACCAAAAGCAGAATTGGAACTCGAGTTCCACCACATAAGAGTACAGCAAAAGCTCACAAGTGACAATGTTGGAATAGTCTCATCATCATCAACAATGATATCTGGCACTCAGCGCCCAGACTACGAATGGCAGATCCTATCTAGCCTATCTACAATGCCGCTGGTGATGTCAACAGCTTCCCGAAGTACGAGCAGATCTCAGCCAACGCCGTTCGCCTCAAGCACCAGGTATGTCTCACGCTTCACTCACAACCTCGATCCCCCAACAGATGCAACGTGCACCCAAGGACCACCACGCGCCCGATCCAGCAACGCGCAGACCAGCTTGGCTATGGTTGCCTGCTTCTTCCCTGCTCGCCCGTGAGCGCGTAGGCACTTGCTCCAGCAGCTGGCGCAGCAGCGCTTGCGCATAAGCGGCGAGTGCCTGAATGTCCAGCCAGCAGCCAGACCCTTTCCTTTATGGAATGAGGCTGCCAGTCGTGGGCTGCCTGGCTGACCTGGGCCTCTCCCAAAAAGCTTCCGGTAGGCCCCAAGTGGCTGAGCCCGTCCCAGGGAATCTTCCACAGGGCCTGGGGAGGTTACCCGTGTCCAACTACCCAGTCGGCCTGTGTTCAGTTCATGCCCTGTGTCTGGTCCAGGGCCTGCCTCCGATTCATCTGATAAAGGACCTGAAGGCCCGAGAGGTTGGCAGGCAGGGCCTGGGCGCATTCAACCAACTGAAGCGGCATAACTGCCTGAATTTCCCCAGCTGCGTCAAAACATAAAATAGGCTTCTTGTCAGGCCCGCCTTCACTTAGGGCGGCCGTGCTTGCTGAAACAGGGCCCAGTAGGGCTTACCGACGCCTTCAGCCTCGCATTCCCTCCTCCATACTTCGATAGTCCTCTGAGAAGTTCACTGAATCTGGCGCTTTCTTTTCTGCAGCAAATTCTCATAGTGAGCGACAACCTGCGGAGCGGACTGCATCAGTTCCTCCCTCGTAAACCATCTGTCCTCTTTTGGATCAGTGTGATGTCCGAACCGAACGCGATACTGCAGCTTCGGCTTCGGAGGACGGCCCCTGCCCGTTGGTCTTGGAACCGGCATTTCGCTGTGGTCAACTATTTGTCGATGTCGATCTCTCCATCCATGGTTGGGGGCAGCATTGACCATCGAGAGGGAAACTGGACAGTTTCCTTGAAAGGTGCGAGTTTGAAGGCGTGAATTGCACCACATAGGAATGCCCATCGGGATCGTCTCCGACCACGTCTAAAACCTCCCATGGTCCGAAATACTGGGGCATGAGCTTACGAGAGATTCCTTGCTCTTGCACAAGTTCAGACGACTTCACCCAGACTCTATCCCCAACCTGAAATGCAGACGGGCGGTGATGTTTGTTCTCAGACTCTATCATAGCCGCCTGTGCTTTGTGCATCTGATCCACAGCTTGCTGCATAAGGCCTTCATACCGGTAAGCAAATTCCAATGTACCAGGAGCAGCAGTGGACTGGTTCTCACGTAATAAGAAATCTAGAGGCAGTCGAGGCTTGAAAGTTAGTAGCAAACTGTTGGGGCTTACCCCTGTTGCGCTGTGCACAGCGTTGTTGTACAGCCTAGTGACGAGAGCAAGCTTCTCATCCCAGTCCACCTGATTAGGCTTGATATATTGCCTCAGCAGGTGTTGTACAGCACGGTTCAGCTGCTCAGCTTGCCCGTTTGCCTCTGGGTGGTTCATGGAGGTCATCTGCAGTTGTGTCCCTTGTTCAGCAGCTGCAGCCTTCCACAACTCACTCGTGAATCGTACATCCCGGTCACTAACAATAGACTCTGGCAGACCAAAGTCTCTGATCCAGTTCTCTTTAAGCAGTTTAATAACGTACTCGGTCTTGGCTGTTTCAGGCATGGCAAGTAACCTAGCGTACTTATATAAATCTATCCACAATGATGAAACGGTTTTCACCTTTTAGCAGTAGCGGATGCAGTACCCAGGGTTCGATCCCTAGACCTCACCCTACCCATGTACAGTATCTGTGTAGACCCCGAGAATTGAACCTGTGACCTGTGTATTCGTAGGCAGTTGGTAGACCTGTCGTAGGTCCATAGACAGCAGGGGTTCGATCTGTAGGTCTATAGCGTAGGAGTCTTAGTGAGTTATGGAAGCTTAGCTGTAGACCTTCAAGAAGGAAGGCAAGTGGGCAAGTGGTCAAGTGGTGAGGCAAGTGGTGGACTAAACCGCAGTGCAACAGCAGTGCAACGGCGGTAGGATWGCGGBGAGTCCACAGTCAGTCAACGGAAGGTCCAGTCAGTCCCAGTCCGGTCCAGCAAGTACCACAGGGGGACTGTAAGCACCAAGGGCCGATGGCAAAGGGCAGACCAACGAGTTTCTGAAGTATAAATCAAGAGGCAGCGCCCAGCCATTCATTCATTCCTGCGTGAGCCATGCGGAAGCGCTGCCACAACGACTTGTGCAAGGAGGTTTGCAGATGAGCCCGGAGGACGAAGTGGGCAAGAGAGGAGGAGTTAGCACAGCGATAGGTTAGAGGCAGCCATAGCTGCCATAGCTGTAGATATTAGTGAGTGTGTGTGTGTGCTCGAGTGTTAGAGTGATGCGTGT